CAGGAGGATCCGGTGGGAAGCTGCCCGGTCTTTCTTTTGACCGCACTTGAATCCGAAAGATCCGACGGCGGTAATCATCTTCCTTCCTTCAGGCTCCCGGTATAGAAGCCTGAAGGATTCCATGGTAGCTTCTGGACTCGCCGTCAGAACCCGGGCAGCTTCGGCCTTGTTTTCTTCAACCCAGGCGGCTGCGCGCCCGGGGAAGTTTTCTTCCTTCTCCGCCATCTCTCTTTTTGCTTCAGAGACCTCGTCCAGCAGCCGGCCATTCTCCTCCTTCAGTTGGGAGATCTCAGTCTTCATTGCCCCGGCCAGCCCAGACAGCCGGATCAGCTCATCAGCCTGGCTCCTCAGGATGAGTGCCATTTCTTCCTTCTCCTTCTTCAGCCGGTCGACTTCAGAAGGGGAACTCATCCCCAGCCGGTCCACTGTCTGCGGCCCGATCTCCCCCGCCTGCACAAAAACGGAATAGACTGGTAAGTCTCTCGATAAAAAAAAAACAAACAAAGACCGGGATGGCGTCAAGACTTACCTCCTTCAGCCTCAACCCCAGATTGATGAAGGCTTCTTCGATGGTCTGACCGGCCGGCTCAGAATCCAGCCTAGCCCTCTTCTTGGCGTAAGAAGGGTGCGTGGTGGCCACCTTCTTAACCCGGCGACCGGCCTTCTCCTTCTCCTTCCCCTTAGACCGGTTGTCTTGGGGCTCATCTTCATCCAGGATTTCCACGGTCTCTGGATTGACCGGGAAAGTTCTGGCAGGATTGGCTTCGGAGCCCCCAGTCTCCCCGGCTGGTTGGTCGTCAGGGATGGCGAACTCTTCAAACTCCATATCTGCAAAACAAACTAAAACCATTAAGTACAAATACTTTGGCCGGTCAACTACGAATCACGAGAAAATTGAAAGGTACCTGGGTGGGAGTTGCCCTCAGCCTCCGCAGTGTTGCCCGGGGAGGGTACCCCGCACCCCGCTGCGTCATGGGCCGGGGAGGTACCCTCGCCACCCGAGTCGACCCTCCAAACCCAGCTGCCATAATGAAACGTCCTCCCGGTGAAAGGATCCCCACGCATGAGGACCTCAAGATTCGCTTCCAAGTCTGGGGAGGAAGCCGGTGCAGTGTACTCTTGGTCGAGCAGATGGTCATTCCATTTCAGACCGGCCAGAGGAGCGAAGAAGAGGGAAAACTCGATGAAAACAAACTTTTCCTTCCATCCCCGGTTGCTCTGGGGGACTTCGGAAATGAACTTCCTACTGGTGCGGGCTTTGAAGAATACAAAACCTTCGCAGCCATCCCCGCCCGATAGGACTTCGAAGCAAAAAAGGAAAAGACGCAAAGAAGGGAAGATTTTGAGATGGGTACAGATATTTACGAAGGAGTGGAGGTACCGGTGGGCGTTAGGAGTTATTTGGCCGGGCAAAATCCTAAACGCATGGCAAACCTCAGTAAGGAGGGGGCGAAAGGGAAAAACTATGCCCGCATCCAGGGAAATAGTATGGAACCCTATCCTATCCTCCCGGTGGGGCTCTACGATATTGGGCCAGTTGGGTTCGTAGAGGAGGGTATACCCATCCGGGAGCCTCCTACGAATTTTGTTCAGGGCGATTTTGGATACGCGTGAAGGGATGTCAAGAACGTAAAAGGTGGGGAGTGGAAAGTAACCGG